CCAAACGCCAACTCTCCCCATTACCCATCCCCACCATCCATCAATGACCCATCCCCACCATCCATCAATGACCCATCCCCATCACTCCAAACACCAACCTTCCCCATAACCCATCCCCTCCACCCCAAACACCAACCTTCCCCATAACCCATCCCCTCCACCCCAAACACCAACTCTCCCCATTACCCATCCCCACCATCCATCAATGACCCATCCCCACCACCCCAAACACCAAGTCTCCCCATTACCCATCCCCACCATCCATCAATGACCCATCCCCTCCACCCCAAACACCAAGTCTCCCCATTACCCATCCCCTCCCCCCCATGATCCAACAATGACCCATCCCCATCACTCCAAACACCAACCTTCCCCATAACCCATCCCCACAATCCAAAAATGACCCATCCCCACTACCCCAAACGCCAACTCTCCCCATTACCCATCCCCACCATCCATCAATGACCCATCCCCATCACTCCAAACACCAACTCTTCCCATTACCCATCCCCACGATCCAAAAATGACCCATCCCCACCACCCCAAACGCCAACTCTCCCCATTACCCATCCCCACCATCCATCAATGACCCATCCCCATCACTCCAAACACCAACTCTCCCCATTACCCATCCCCACGATCCAACAATGACCCATCCCCACCACCCCAAACCCCAACTCTCCCCATTACCCATCCCCACGATCCAACAATGACCCATCCCCACCACCCCAAACGCCAACTCTCCCCATTACCCATCCCCACGATCCAACAATGACCCATCCCCACCACCCCAACTCTCCCCATTACCCATCCCCACGATCCAACAATGACCCATCCCCACCACCCCAAACGCCAACTCTCCCCATTACCCATCCCCACCATCCATCAATGACCCATCCCCATCACTCCAAACACCAACTCTTCCTAATACACAACATCGACCCATCCCCATCACTCCAAACACCAACCTTCCCCATTACCCATCCCCATCACCCCAAAACTACCCTTCCCCATCTCCCAACAATGATCCGTCCCCATCACCCTATAATCAATCTTCACCATATCCCATCACCAACCCTCACCTTACCCCAACATTGACTATCCCCACCCCCCAATACTAAGCCACCTTATCACCTAACTTTGACCCATCCCCACCACCCCAAATCTTGCCCCCATAGTTTATTACAGGAGAGGGCGGAGACAAGACCAGTCACCCTGCACAAGGAGAGAGAGCAGCAGTGAGCGGTCTTATTACAGGAGGGGGCGGGACAAGACCAGTCACCCTGCACAAGGAGAGCAGCAGTGACCGGTCTTTATTACAGGAGGGGGCGGAGACAAGACCAGTCACCCTGCACAAGGAGAGAGCGGAGCAGTGAGTGGTCTTTATTACAGGAGGGGGCGGAGACAAGACCAGTCACCCTGCACAAGGAGAGAGAGGAGCAGTGAGCGGTCTTTATTACAGGAGGGGGCGGAGACAAGACCAGTCACCCTGCACAAGGAGAGAGAGCTGCAGTGGGCGGTCTTTATTACAAGAGGGGGCGGAGACAAGACCAGTCACCCTGCACAAGGAGAGAGAGCCGCAGTGAGTGGTCTTTATTACAGGAGGGGGCGGAGACAAGACCAGTCACCCTGCACAAGGAGAGAGAGCTGCAGTGGGCGGTCTTTATTACAAGAGGGGGCGGAGACAAGACCAGTCACCCAGCACAAGGAGAGAGCGGAGCAGTGACCGGTCTTTGTTACAGGAGGGGGCGGAGACAAGACCAGTCACCGTGCACAAGGAGAGAGAGGAGCAGTGACCGGTCTTTATTACAGGAGGGGGCGGAGACAAGACCAGTCACCCAGCACAAGTACAGAGAGCAGCAGTGAGCGGTCTCACACGGGATGACTGCACAGGTCTGGAAGAATACACAGGACTCTGTATGAGGACGATATTTGCTGATCCCAGTTGGCCGGCACATCAGAGCGCAGTGCGTTGTGTACACAGGGACGGTCTGTCTGCATTGTGGAGTGTTATCGGCATTAAAGTATTACTGCGGCAGAGTGACGGGTAAACAACAGTTCCTGCCGTCTGCTGAGCTGCGCACGGTGCGTTCAGTGCCGGCTCAAATGGTAAAACTGAACTCCACGCAGATGTGAAATCATCATCATCATAGGCAGGCCGGGGCTTGATCTGCTGCTGTAGTGGAGATTAAGAACCTGGCTGTGCTATCTGTCAGGGGCGGCTGGATCACAAGACTGGCCGGACAGAGTTGCTCATCCTTAGTCAGGATATACGGTTCCTGTATTAGTATTTAGCGGGTTGCCTGGAGAACTCGGAGAGGTTGCCATGGACAACGCAGACTCTGGTCATAAAACTGACCAGGGACATGCGAGTCTGCGGGAGCCGAGAATGTACAATCTCCTCTGGTGGTTTATGACTCTGACCGGTCTGTGTTCCCTCACCACAGGGAGTCACGGAAGGGTACAATGGCACCATCTTTGCCTACGGACAGACGGGCAGTGGGAAATCCTTCAGCATGCAGGGCATCTCGGACCCGCCCTCGCAGAGGGGCATCATCCCCCGGGCGTTCGAACACATCTTCGAGAGCATTCAGGTGAGTGACGGGCCAGGTGGCTCAGGGCGAGTGACGGGCCAGGTGGCTCAGGCGAGGGACGGGTCAGGTGGCTCAGAGGGAGTGACGGGTCAGGTGCCTCAGGCGAGTGACGGGCCAGGTGGCTCAGGCGAGGGACGGGTCAGGTGGCTCAGAGGGAGTGACGGGTCAGGTGCCTCAGGCGAGTGACGGGCCAGGTGGCTCAGGCGAGGGACGGGTCAGGTGGCTCAGAGGGAGTGACGGGTCAGGTGCCTCAGGCGAGTGACGGGCCAGGTGGCTCAGGCGAGGGACGGGTCAGGTGGCTCAGAGGGAGTGACGGGTCAGGTGCCTCAGGCGAGTGACGGGCCAGGTGGCTCAGGCGAGGGACGGGTCAGGTGGCTCAGAGGGAGTGACGGGTCAGGTGCCTCAGGCGAGTGACGGGCCAGGTGGCTCAGGCGAGGGACGGGTCAGGTGGCTCAGAGGGAGTGACGGGTCAGGTGCCTCAGGCGAGTGACGGGCCAGGTGGCTCAGGCGAGGGACGGGTCAGGTGGCTCAGAGGGAGTGACGGGTCAGGTGCCTCAGGCGAGTGACGGGCCAGGTGGCTCAGGCGAGGGACGGGTCAGGTGGCTCAGAGGGAGTGACGGGTCAGGTGCCTCAGGCGAGTGACGGGCCAGGTGGCTCAGGCGAGGGACGGGTCAGGTGGCTCAGAGGGAGTGACGGGTCAGGTGCCTCAGGCGAGTGACGGGCCAGGTGGCTCAGGCGAGGGACGGGTCAGGTGGCTCAGAGGGAGTGACGGGTCAGGTGCCTCAGGCGAGTGACGGGCCAGGTGGCTCAGGCGAGGGACGGGTCAGGTGGCTCAGAGGGAGTGACGGGTCAGGTGCCTCAGGCGAGTGACGGGCCAGGTGGCTCAGGCGAGGGACGGGTCAGGTGGCTCAGAGGGAGTGACGGGTCAGGTGCCTCAGGCGAGTGACGGGCCAGGTGGCTCAGGCGAGGGACGGGTCAGGTGGCTCAGAGGGAGTGACGGGTCAGGTGCCTCAGGCGAGTGACGGGCCAGGTGGCTCAGGCGAGGGACGGGTCAGGTGGCTCAGAGGGAGTGACGGGTCAGGTGCCTCAGGCGAGTGACGGGCCAGGTGGCTCAGGCGAGGGACGGGTCAGGTGGCTCAGAGGGAGTGACGGGTCAGGTGCCTCAGGCGAGTGACGGGCCAGGTGGCTCAGGCGAGGGACGGGTCAGGTGGCTCAGAGGGAGTGACGGGTCAGGTGCCTCAGGCGAGTGACGGGCCAGGTGGCTCAGGCGAGGGACGGGTCAGGTGGCTCAGAGGGAGTGACGGGTCAGGTGCCTCAGGCGAGTGACGGGCCAGGTGGCTCAGGCGAGGGACGGGTCAGGTGGCTCAGAGGGAGTGACGGGTCAGGTGCCTCAGGCGAGTGACGGGCCAGGTGGCTCAGGCGAGGGACGGGTCAGGTGGCTCAGAGGGAGTGACGGGTCAGGTGCCTCAGGCGAGTGACGGGCCAGGTGGCTCAGGCGAGGGACGGGTCAGGTGGCTCAGAGGGAGTGACGGGTCAGGTGCCTCAGGCGAGTGACGGGCCAGGTGGCTCAGGCGAGGGACGGGTCAGGTGGCTCAGAGGGAGTGACGGGTCAGGTGCCTCAGGCGAGTGACGGGCCAGGTGGCTCAGGCGAGGGACGGGTCAGATGGCGGGTTCATCATTCTCATCCTTGTGCCTTCTCTGTACTCCGGTCCGCACATTTCCTCCCCCCCATTCCGCAGTGTGCCGAGAACACCAAGTTCCTAGTGCGAGCCTCGTACCTGGAGATCTACAACGAGGAGATCCGGGATCTGCTGGGAGAGGACACCAAGCACAAGCTGGAGGTATGGACGGGGCCTCTACAATGGCCAACCCACAACATGGTCACCACAGCTTATTGTGCCCGCTACATGGGCCAGTCTTTCAGAGGGTGATGGGCCGCTGGAGGGTCATGTGATCATTCTCAGTGTTGGACCACCAATGCCTGTGGCAGCTTTATCCTAGTCTAGGCTCAGGGTCTACAACAGCAACAAAACCAAAAACTTGATCGGTTCCCATGAGCCATAACCAGGGCTGCTAATGATCTGACCCCCATTCCCGTCATCCATGACTAGGAAGATTAGGCCGTGTATGAGGACCCCTAGAATCAAATACTCTGCACTCCTCCAGCCTTGTGAAGACCCTTTTCTGTTCCCCCATGACTGTCCCCTGTGTACACAGCCAGCTCCATAAAGACATGGTGTGACCAGTGTGGTGGAGGAACTCCATTGTCCTGCACAGATCCCCGACCTCAACCCTACTGACCACCTTTGGGGTGAACTGGAGCCCGGTCTTCTCCTCTGGGGGGTTTCTTGAGTAGGGAGCCTGTAGAGGAAGACTGCCATCTCCTTAAGGAACCTTGCTGATCCTCTGGAGGAGCCCCAGGAACAGAAGATCCGGCTCACAATCACCGTTCCAATGGATCCCCAAAGGTCACCTACTGATCCTCTGGAATTGGAACGCCGATGGCGAGCCGGATCTTCTCATCCAACATCAGTACCTGACAAGTGGACACAAATTCCCACAGACCCCCCGCCCCCCTCAAAGTCTTGTGGAAGCCTCCCCAGAAGGGTGGAGGATGTTATAGTTACAAAGGGGGCAGCTACATATTAATGGCTGTGGTGGTGGAGGGAACTCCATAATAATGGCCGTGGTGGTGGAGGGAACTCCATATTAATGGCCGTGGTGGTGGAGGGAACTCCATATTAATGGCCGTGGTGGTGGTGGAGGGAACTCCGTATTAATGGCGGTGGTGGTGGAGGGAACTCCATATTAATGGCCGTGGTGGTGGAGGGAACTCCATATTAATGGCCGTGGTGGTGGAGGGAACTCTATATTAATGGCCGTGGTGGTGGAGGGAACTCCATATTAATGGGCGTGGTGGTGGAGGGAACTCCATATTAATGGCGGTGGTGGTGGAGGGAACTCCGTATTAATGGCGGTGGTGGTGGAGGGAACTCCATATTAATGGCCGTGGTGGTGGAGGGAACTCCATATTAATGGCTGTGGTGGTGGAGGGAACTCCATATTAATGGTGGTGGTGGTGGTGGAGGGAACTCCATATTAATGGCGGTGGTGGTGGAGGGAACTCCATATTAATGGCGGTGGTGGTGGAGGGAACTCCGTATTAATGGCGGTGGTGGTGGAGGGAACTCCGTATTAATGGCGGTGGTGGTGGAGGGAACTCTATATTAATGAGGATGATGATGATGATGATCTGTATATAGACATAACAATGAAATATAAAGAGAAGCAGACATAGAGTCCGGGCACAATGGTAGACGCCGGTTGACTTCATACAGGACAAGGTTAACATGTCACTATGTATTATGTTCTAGTGGGCAGAGGGGGAGGGGCCGTGACACGCATGCCAGGCTTTGTTCCCGGCTCACTGACCCGAGCTCCCACAACAACCGCCGCTGTGTCTTCTCCCAGACGCAGCGTGATTGTCATTACCGGAGCACAGAATGGAGTCCAGTGCAGCAGGAAACTGCGGGTTATGAAACCGATTGTGCATGTTAGCACGGTGTCAAGGCTGTCTGAAGGAACAGACAGTGGCCTAAGGTCTGAGGCCGGAGCAGCAGTGCTTAAAGTCCAAAGCCAAGGGGCTGGATGTGCATATCTTTGTATTGCCAAGAGATGTTGAAGAACCCCTGCAAGGGTAACTGCATTGTTTTGTGAACTTTCTTTTTAATAAAAGTGGGCAAGGAAGCCCTTAAATGAAGATTTCAGTGAGTTGATGCATCCTTAAAGCTCTACTATTTGAA